GCAACTCTCACTGATGGTGTGGTTCTGCAGTCCATGCCCTCTCTGAGCTGGGCACAGTGGGATCAGCAGGCTCACAGTGGGTAGCTCAAAGTACTGTCAGTAATGTTGTAACTGGGACAGGTGCCTAATGAGAATGCATAGCCAGAACATATTAATGCACTGAAAGGCCTTAGAAATCCATCTTAGCATGACATTTGCTCACCTACTGCCAGAAATAAAGCCAGCTGAGAGTGACATTTTGATGTTTTTGGAGAACAGAACTGGAGCAGCAATGGACTTTTTAGTGGTCCTCAAATGACACTGCTATATACCACTAGATGAAGCTGAAATTATGTCTTTGTACGTGATAATGTGCAGCAAGACCTAATAAGGTTTCAACTCTTGCACGCACCTAATTATGCAGGAATTACACAGACAGAGTCTCCAAATACTCTTGCAAAACATGTGCAAATCTTAATTTTTTCAGGATTAGCAGTGCCCTGAAAATTGGAACGACCAAACTTGAAGCAAAAGCTAAGAAAAACATACTAAATCCCCTGTGCTTTTGTGCAGTCCCAAACATAATCATAAAAGTAGTAGCAAAAGCAAGTTTTCTGAACAAAAAAAAAGTGTTCTCATTTGAAGAAAGAGAAAACAAAAAATACAATATAGCATCAGTAGTAAGGATTTCACTTATTCATGGAAGTATGGCTGCACCACAGCCACAAAACCTCAGATCCTACCCAGATATAACAGTATCATTTATTCATAACCCTCAAAGAAAAAGAGAATGGAAGAAGGACACTTTACACTGGGAAAAAGGAAATCTGCAGTCAACAACATCACCCTATCCAGCAATTTGCCAACGAGACAGAAATAAATGGCAATAGCATCAAAACCCCAAACACAGTGTAAACATTGCATGACATTCAGAGACCTAAAAAGCACGATGCTTACATTTTGGAAGATCTAATGTGTTTTTCCTGTTAACATGGAGCTGGATCCACAAAACAATATTTCTGACATGTCAGTCCACAAAATAGCCATGGAAAAATACAGGGACAGAGTTTTTATTCCTAAACCATATTGTTCAGAAACTCTGGACTGTTACAGTTCAAAGGTAACTTAGCCCATTAAAGGAAGGGGAAAGTTTGGATACAGATCCGAATACCTCCATGTTTGGCAACATGAATCAGTTTGGATCTTGGCAACATGAATCAGTTTGGATCTTATTCATCTCTAATCACAAAAATTCATTTTTAGTTAGGATTCCTTGGGCCATGGGATTCTGAAGCTGCTGGATTCTGAAGAAGACTCAGCCGTAACTCATGTCTCCAATTACAAGTTTCAGGCAGGCAGGGCAGCATCTTTGAATGCTGCCTGGATGAAGTGTGGGAAGGTGATAAGCTGTAGTTGCCCTGATCAGTTCAAGTAAAGATGAAAAGGTTAGAGACACAGGTTACTGCTGCAGGTGGGTAGCAAACTCCCATACATCACTCAGAACAGCATCCCAGGTATGAAAGCAGGCCCACCCAAGCCCATCAACACATGGCAGAAGTTGCAGCCTTGCAAAGACCTTTTCCCGAGTGCTAGAAAACAGCCAAAGCAGCCCTGTGTGAGTTGCAGTGGATGCCACTGTGTCTCTCTGCCACACTCCAATACGGGAAAGACACAATTCCACTCGCAGGAATCCCACAGCAGATTCTGGAGACAGATTTGTGGGTGCAATTAAGACTTTTCAAAGAAAGAAAGCAGGATAAGAATAGCAGCCAGGGAGGGAGGACAGGAAGCAAAAGCCAAGAGGCTGTGGTTACCTCTCCTGACAGATGTGACTTTGTAGAGAGGCAAAAGGGATTTGCACAGCAGGTCTCACCCAGAGCGACTGAGGCTGATGATTTCAATAACACAGCCCCAGGGAGCGAGGGGCTCCAGGCTCTGGCGAACAGTCAGTCTGAGCTGTGTCAGCTGCACCAGAGTGCTGATTAGGCACTTTTCTCGTCAGAGCAGACCCATTCAGCAGGAAATGAGGCCACATACGTGCTGCCAGAGCTGAGAAAGCCATATCCTGCGGGTCAGAGGCTCCACTCGCGTGCGTCAGTGCACTTCCAGAGCAGCTAAGGGAGGTGCACTGGGTTGCAGACAGAGCTGTGCACCCAGCCTGTGGGAGAAAAAAGTTGTACTGCATGTTCATTTGGCCTTTGGGATTTTTAGTGCATGGGTAAAACTGTCAGGGTGTCAGGTAAGAGGCACAAAAAATATTGAATAAACGTTTTAAAAAAGCAGAAATAGCTACAAAAAGTGGGTGGAATGGATGGAAGATTTTATCATTGAAGTAATGCAAATCATGTAGTTGCAACCCTTGATGCTGCAAACCCTTCCAATCCAGGCACAAAGGAAAGTTACAGATCACCCATCTGCAGCACAGAGGTTACAACCTATTTGCATAAAATCATCCAACAAGTCAGCATTAAATCTGGAAAGATGAGAGGTCAGAAGTCTATGTTTCTCCACAGCTCACTCATCTGACTAGTGCTGTCTGGCTCATAAGTATATCCCAAGAGACTGGCAAAATGTAGATTTATTTGGGTACGTTAGGTGCTGGGTTTCCTAATGGATGCTGCTGGAGGGACATTTTAGTGACAAGGCAGAGACCTATGCACAGAAGCTTACAGTCTTGTTCCAAGCTGTGCAAAGAAAAGGTCTCCCTTGGTGAAAAACCTAAAAGGGCAGTTTCACCTGAGCTTATTTATGAAAGGAAAAGTCAAAAAAATTTTCAGCCCAAGCCACTTTTAAAGGTACATTCGAAACTTTAGAATAAATATCCCTTTAAGAATAACTATTTTTGTTCTTATGTTATTAAAGAACGTTCAGAGTGGGAGAAACAAACAAAATGGTTCTACACAAAAACCCTGAACACACAGGGAACTGTTTAAAGTACAGAGATCACAAGCTGCAAAACAGAAAGAATATGTTTTCAGTAAACTGTCAGGCACAAGAGATTTCAAAAGTCCAGGTATGCCTCTGACTCTTCTTCTGTCTTCTATCATAGTCAAATAAATTATATGAAACCTTCTCACTATTTAATTGATCTCTGTCCCGAAGCCCATTAGGGTTCTTGACGCAATTAAAGGAATTGTTAGTGCAAACAGTAATTGACGAACAACAACAAACATTGATACTGATTCTTGTGGTGCATCTTTCAGCTCTGTAGGGCCTAGGCACTTACATGACAGCTTAGGCAGCCCTTATTGATACCTTTGCACCAGAATTTTGTACACCCCATTAAGAGATTAGCAGACTGAAGGAATTTATGAGAGACATGGAGAGAGAGAGGCATGACTGAGCCTAGCAGAATTACACGAGAAGGTATAAAATGTCCATCCAGACTACTATCTTTTCTCAAACAATGGCAAGCAGCAGATGCTTTGGAAAAGAGTATGCAAAATCAGTCATCACTGGTTTCCTTTCAGTCAGCAGTCCAAGAACTTCCTGAAATGGTGTTTCTATCAGGACCATCAAAGTAAATAATTGCTGGTAGAGTTTTTTGATGAATATGTCTGTTTGGTTTTGCATTACCTTATCTCTTTGATAGGATTTCCCTTTGCTGTGTTAAAAGGAGTAGATTCAAATCTATAAATTTTAATTAGCTCCCCAGGCAGTATAACTTTTAACAACTCCTTCTGCTTCCTCAAATCTGCTGATTGCTCTGTGCATAATCCAGACCTGTCATTCTCTTGTGAGGAGTCTTTGCTGTATGGTCACAAAAGTCTGTCTCTGGAGGAAAAGAATAGTAACATTTTAAAGGCAGTGTTCAGTCTCATAAGGATCAGATTTAGCACATGCTAAATTATCTGTGATGCTTAAAAGCAGACATGTATTATCCTGTCTAAGTGATTACTAGGAGAAGGGTGGAGTAGCTAAATCTGTACTAATTGCTCTATACAGGGAAGCAGGAATGCCAAAGTGTTCGTATCATCCACGCTTGATGCAACCTGAATATATAATCAGTCTTAACCCATCATACATGCTGGTGAAAGTATTAAATCCATGTCTCTGGGGATGTAGGCTTTCAAGTGTTAAACACTTCAAAAGCAGCACAGGGGAAAGGCCAGAATAGATTGCAAGGTGACAACTTCCCTTGTCCTTTCTGGCCTAGCACTGTAGGACCATTTTGCAAGACAAGGACAATAACCTTGGGGTGATGCACCTTAAGGTGCTGTATCAAATTATTTAGGACTTCTTTAGAGAGGGAGTGAATACCAGTGGTCAGTAGATGTGGTGTCACAGCACAGGGCAAACACCGGAGGCCTGCGCACAGTGTCCTGGCACAGGTGTCTTAAACACTCTACAGCATTCATCCTCATGCCTGCTGGTGGGACACTCCTGCCTGCCTGAGTTCCCTGTTCCACACTGCCACCAACAGAGCCCACGGAAAGGGAGACATCCTTAACTCAAAACAGTGAGAGAATGGTTGTCCTGTTCTAGTTAGGGAGTGGGATGAGTGGAACAAGTATGAGGGCCTGCAAAATTTCCAACACCTCGAGGAAAGCTGAGAGAATGCTTAGTACGGCCTTCCTGTCCCAGCACTCAACCCCACAGCCTCCAGTTACTGGGCTACCTCACCTGCTGGTAGAGAAGTTTTCTGTGCTCCAGGAGGGAGGGAGTTTCCTGTTTCCCATGGACACAGATCCGAGTCTTCTGGGCAGAGTGTGTTTGTGGACGGGGCGGGGGATCACGGAGGCTAGAGATGGAGCATCCCTGTCTAACCCTAGTGCCACCCCATAGGCACAGGTGGAGAGAAATGACAGGGAAAGGAGGCGAGAAAAAGAGGGGAGTTGAATGGGAGGCAGGACAGTGGGAAGCGTCAAGGAGTGCGGAGGGAAGGAAGAGAGAGGAAAAAAAAAAAAAAAAAAAAGGAGGAGAAAGGGGAGGAGATGAAAAGCAAGGGGGAGAAGGGAGGACCGGGCTGGGAAGAGGCGAGAGGCCCGGGAGGAGAGGAGGGAGGCAGCTCGTCAGAGAGGGACGGGACGGGACCCAGCGCCCCGCGGGCCATGCCCCTCCTGGCCACGGCGCTGGCCGCCCTGCTGGCCACGGCTCCAGCCCCAGGTAAGCGACACAGCGGGTGCTTATCGGCGAGCGCCCAGCCCCGGCAACCCCCGCCCGAGACTGGGCAGCCTCCCCTGGGCCCCCGGCGAGCCCCAGGGCTCCCCTGGGAGCACCGCCGCCCCTGCGCGCCGCGGAGCGCCCTCCGGGTCCGAGTCTCGGTCCCGAGTCCCGGTCCCGGTCCGGGTCCCCCCGCCGCCCGCACCGGGGAGGGGCTGGGGCAGCGCTGGGGCTCGGGCGGCGGGACAGGGGCTCAGCGTTCCTTGGGGAGCACGGCCGGGAGGGGCGCCCCTTCGCCGACCCCCGCCCCGCCGGTCCCGACCTCGCTCTGCCGCCACTTTCCCGGACTCCCCGCAGCAGCGCTTCGGCACGGCGACCCGATCCTTTTTAGAAAAGAACACCCTTTCCATGCATAAGTTCGTGGAGATGGGTCCTCGTCCGTCTTCTATGTCAGGCAAAGCCGAGACAAAGCGGGGTTTGAGGTTGCTTTTTTACACAGGTGCCCCGATCCCCTAGGCATCAGGTGGAAATGCAACCCGTAGGTCTCTTGTAAAAAAAACCTCCTCCACATTAGACCTTTATGCTTCCAAAACCAAAGGTGCATTGGACAGCATGTGTGTCCTGAAGCTGCAAAACGGACACAGAGCCTGTAGCTGAACTTCCAGATGCGGTGAGGTTAGAGGGGTGGGGAAGCCCTACTCCTTCAAGGTTAATGAAAGAGTTGAATGTGAATCTTCACCACAAAAGGGCAGGAGATGGTGGAGGCAGATGTTTGGTTCAAGTCCATCTTTAGTCAATGCAGAAGCTTTCTCCGAGGGGGAGTCTCTGAGTTGTGAAACTTGAAGACAGATCTGTTAACTGAGAACAGTTGGTGCTCTCGCTAGCCAGCTCCTAATTATTTTCATTTAAACAAAGAGCTCTTCCTGGCTCATCTGCTCTTTTTACTTTTTAATTGTAGAGAAATCAAAATAAAGCAGGCTTTGACAGTAGCATAGCTTCTTAGAACAAACTACAACACAGATAAAACCCATCCCATTTGCTTGTGGTCGTGCAAATTTGAGATCAGAAGGGAACCATCCCAGTGGCATCCCAGGACTATCAGTCCTCCCAGTCCTGAAGGGCTGGTTGTATATTCTGCCCGTTGGTCTCCATGGAGGAAGGAAGAGTGGCCTATAAACAACAGTAAACCTGGATTAGGAGCAATTGTGCACAGGAGCAATTCCATCCGTATCTCCACTTGAAGTAACTGGGGTTGTCCCACAGAAACACAGCCACACTGAAACTGCTCACCACATGTAAGAACCAAACAGTGACTTTAAGACCTTTGCCACTGTTCTAGCCCTGGAATAAACAAGTTTCTGGCTGCTAGAAGTATAGTTTGGTACTGCTGGCAGTGCTGTGAAAGTGTTTTGCTGTGTGATACGGCAGACAGCAAAGTCCGGATCTAGCTAATTCTTGGAATTGAACTGGTCTAAGCAGAAGTGGACAATTTGCAAAATAGTAGGATTTTTTAAGACAGAACTTAGTCAGCAGTCTGACTCCCCTCAGGCTAGTGAGACACGCAGGTGGAGGGTACCAAAGAAGCAGACAGCTAAAAGGTTGGGATGGGGGCAGCTAAGCTGCTTGCAAAAAGGAGAGACATGTTTGATGACTAAGCACACTGCAAAGAAATCCTCAAATCTTTGACTCACTCTCCTCCCCCTTTCTATAAATAGTTTCCCTTTCCAAGCAGAAACAAAACTAAAACTCTTGTGGTGAGCTCCACCTGAGCAGCTACATCATGCTATATTGAGAAGGCAGGAGAAGGAAAACAGCAATTCCTCACTTGAAACAGCAGTCTGAAGCCTAGATATTCAGTGCTCTGTTGGCACACAAGCCTGCTTTCAAGTTGTGGAGAAGTCTCCTATTCTTGGCAAGGAACCCATTACAAGGGTAAACCTCATGCTGAGACTGATCAGTGCCTGCTAAGGACAGAAGGAATATATCCATGACTGTCTGAGAGTCCTGAAGAGGGTTTTCCTTTCCTCATAAGAGATATATAAACTCTATTCTCCTAAAAGTAGGAATCACTGTTCCTACTTCAATGGCAGTGGGAAAATAAAGTCAGATGGATTCTGGTTTTCTGTTTTATATAAAGCATCGCCTGGCCCTGTTCAACATGAGGTGATAGCATGGTAAAGGCATCAGGAGATTTCCAAAACTGTCCCCATTGCTGCACTTGTGCGGCTGCACCAATAGCAGCCACAGAAGGAAGATAAGGAGATGGGGTTCTACTGATCAAACATGAAGGATGCAAAATTTGATATGTCCATATAAAAAGGCATGTCCTCAGAGAAAAAGTAGAAGCCTTAGATATAAAATACTGATATTTGTATGAGTGTAAACAGCTAGAAAGGGATCAGAGACTCCACATACAATGCTTCTTTATCTTCTTGCAGAGGCTTCCATCATCACCATATCTGACTTCCTCTGTATTTTCTCTTGGGTACATTTTGGCACTATGTTCCACCTAGTTTCAAATTAAGCAATGATTCTTTTGCCTTTTATTTTGGAACTCTATTTCACAATTACTCCTAGCCAGCTTTTTCAAACCAGAAGTTCACATGTCAGGAAAATGACATAATTGTTTTTCTTTACAGTTTTCATGACATGCTCATAATTTCAGTAGGAAAAGGTCTGCGTTTTTCATTTACCCAAAATATAATTTTATAAATGATTTATTAAACATTTATTGCATAAGGACTCCAAAAAGTGTTGAATTCTAAACTTACTCCTTATTTACTAAGCAGCACAACCTTCAAAATTTAATCTTATTTTGATGGCAAAGACAGCCATTTATGGGCTTCACATCTGCCAATGAAGAACTAAGGTCAGGTAACACCAGCAAGTAATAACAGAATTTTCGTGCCTAGAAAGTTTTTGGTGGGATTCAACCTTAATTTTAAATTTTAGCATTGTGTTCTACTTGTGTGCTTTCTGCAATCCAAAATGACCTCTTCCTTTGGCGTTTGCATGAATTACAGACACAAACATCAAGGACAGATAATTTTGTCAATAATTTCAGCCATGCTTAGCTGTAGTTTCCTAAAGAGATTTTTTTAAAAAACCCAAACTGTTCTTTATACAACTTGTTTTCTCCTTCATAAATAAAATAATATCTACTTGGAAAATACACACTATTCAGTAGAGCTTTCTATTGAAATGACACAAAAATAATTATTATACTGTTCATTTTGAGAGTTCTTCTTGAACAGTTGCAATGTAACTTCTTTAATTTAGTGGATTTACTTTATGTAAGGTGACACAATTCACTGCTTCATTTCACAGCTTCACTGGGGCCATAAAACCAGTATCTCTGCCTACAACAGTCCTTCAGAAATAGAATGGAAATACTTTACTTGCTTATTTTGAAGATAAATATGTGTTTGTGTTTCAGGAGATGATGTCAGACAAGAGTCTCTGCCAAAATGCACATCCCCTTTGTTAAAATGTTGCTTGCTAATGTGCTAGAAAAGTGTCCAGAAATGAAAAAATCATTCTCTCAGAGTTGAAATTCTCATCAGTATTTGAGTACAGTATTCACATATCAGGAAGCTTAATGTTCACAGTTTGGAGGACATTTCATGCTTTACAGAGTGCACTGCAGGGAGTGCTTGCTCACTGCTGAAATATGGTTCTCTCTCTGGTGGATGCCCTCAGACCGGTAGATTACACATTACAAATCATGTAGGGAACACATTGCCACAATACACCAGTGGTCAAAAATAGATCAGTCTCTGATATGACTAATAAGGACATTCTTAATGTACATTAGGAAGGAAATAAAATGAGTGTTGATTCCCCTGGCTCAGAAAGTCAGTCCAGTATAAATCAGTTAGGTCAGGAAAGGAAAATCTTCCTCTAATGAACAGCTGTGGACACTTCTTTCAACCTTCACCTGTTGTTGGAAGTAAAGCAAGAGGCAAACAATTGGTCTAAGTGAGGTTCGTGATGAAGAACATTAAAGACAAGAATCAGAAATTAATGGAACAATGAAATAATAATTTGTCCCGATATGATCTCATGTCATATTTTATCATGCAAATAATGTCAGATTAACTTGCATTGTAGTCAGAAGGACTAATCTGACAGATTTAGCCCAGGTTTCAAATGACCATTTAATTATGACAAGGAGAATGTTACATAAAACAGAGGTCATGGGGAACTGTAGCATATAGGGAGTTCAGTGCTCTTTCAGTGATCATTTATGGAACGGTATGATGGAAGGTTTGCGCAAATGATGTCTAAAAGAAGTAGATGGAAGCATACATGTTGAAATTGTGACCTTATCAAATCAGCAAAAGGCAAGGATAGCACATAGGAAAAACTGAGGATGGGATAACAGGAGTAGAGCAGAAGTCAGTAAAGCAAAGTCACGTACTTGAGGATTAGTAAGAATTTCTTTGATATACTAGGAACTGAACCACAAATGACAAAGAAGGGAAAACACCCAAGTAAGCTATTTATTTATAAACTGTTGTATAATCACATGTGGAAGTGTCATGAAAAAGGACAACATAATTCTGGGATGTAGCAAGTAAGGTATATCCCAGTCAAATCTGAGAAATACTGTGAGTATTCCATAGGACATGGGAAAACTTCTTTCCAGACACTGACTATAGTTGCAGTCACTGACATTAAAAAGTTTAAAATTATTACAAACAACCCCAAAATTTGAACTGTAACCAATGCAGAGAAGGGCTGCTAAGGTGAATAGGGAAAGGAAGACACTATGTACTGGAAGAGACTAACAGAGCTTGGCTTCTTTAGCTCAACAAAGCGAAGGAAGGCTGAGACACCAGATAATTACTTTCTATATAGAGTCAGGAAGCAAGCTGAGAGAAGAAAACACTATTTCAACTTAAAGTTGGCAGAGGAATAAATGGGCACAAACTGGCTATTGAAAGCATTCTTGTGGGTCTCTTCCAGCTTAGCATATTCTGTGATTCTGTGATTTAGCCTGGAAGTCCTAAGAAGGATGCAAGTTGTCAGAAGAGCCGGTCATGGAAAAGAGCCATTCTTGGCTCTTACTCCAGGAGAGTTTTAGATCAACATTTGTTCAGACTGATGAAGGATTGCATGAAGTTCGATCCTATGACAATAGCAAAGCCTCCACATTAGCCCTGTGTTACTGATAAGTTACAGCAAGAATACTAGAGCAGACTCACTGAAGGAGGGCTCATACCATCTTTAATATTCACAGAGAAGCAGATGATTTCAAGTTATACAAGCTCATTAAATTGCTGCACACTAAACAGATACCATCAGTTTATCTGCTGTGGGCTTGCATGCGGGGAAAGACTGGGGTGCTGTTGTGCCAGTATGGAGGATTCTCATCATCTTTTCTTTTCTTTACAGATGTTTGTGAGGCTTTAAATGTGACAGTCTCTCCTGGGCCAACAGTGCGATACTTTGAGGGAGATAATGCTACCCTTTATTGCCACATTTCTCAAAAGAGAAAGACAGACAATTTGCTGGCTGTGCGGTGGGTCTTTGCTGCATCACCTACCCAGGAGCATCTGATGATCAAAATGACAAAGTTTGGCTCTGTCCAGTATTATGGAAATTATACTCATAATTTCCATAAGCAAAGACTTCATCTTCTTAAAGAGAAATATGGAACTATGTACAAATTTCTTATTTTAAGTCTCCAGCAAACAGATCAAGGACGTTACATATGCAAAGTCCAGGAAATCGGCAAACATAGGAATAAGTGGACAGCATGGTCAAATGGCACAGCAGCTACTGAAATAAGAGGTGAGAGGCTACTGATTTCAAGTCTATAATTTTTTCTTGTCCTGTGATCCCTTTTTTTTCTTGCAATTTCATCCATTAGACATTTGAACTTACATTATATTTAAGTGTAAACTGTGGGTATGAGAAGAAAACCTAGCACTCAACTTCTTTACTTACTCATTACAATTTAAACATTATTTGGCCCATAATAAAATGTGAAGAAGTGAGAAGGTTGGTAGAAGATAGTCTATTTCCATTACCTTTTATCAGAATAGCAGTAATTAAAACTCCTTTCCATTCAGCAACAGGTTTCTGGTGGGTTGACCTTGGCTGGACACCAGGTGCCCACCAAGCTACTCCATCACTCCCCTCCTCAGCATGACAGGAAGGGGAGAAAATGAGATGAAAAAAAAACCACTCACAGGTCAAGAGAAAAGCAGTTTAATAAAGCAAAAGCAAAGGCACTGCACAGAAGCACAGGAAAAACAAAAGAATTTCCCATCAGCAGGTGATGTCCAGCGACTTTCTGGGAAGCAGGGCTTCAGCACACAAAGCAGTTGCTCTAGAGACAAATGTCTAATAATGACTGCCCTCCTTCCCACCCCTTCTTAGCTTTTATTGCTGAGCAGACATCATATGGTAGGGAATATCCCTTTGATCGGTTTGGGTCAGCTGTCCTGGCCATTGCTATTTAAATACAGAGAGACAGAAATAGGAGAGAAATTAACTTATTTTCTGAAGAATATGCAGTGGGTCTGTCAGAAATAGAAGCATTATATTTTATTTATTTTATTATATTTTATATATTTTATTATATTTTAGGTCTGTTTTGCCTCTCTCTCTTGTTACTTCCCTTGCTCTTAGTTCTAGTCTAGCAGCAGTTGGTAAGTAGCACTTCTAGTATCACTTCTGTACTATTGTTTATACCACTTGTAGCCAGAAAGCAGAGCTAAAAAAACATTGACCAGCCTGCTGGTATTGAACTGCGGATAAAATGACCAGCAATGAGTGATGTATGTGAACCAAGTTGAAAATGATCCATCTCTTTGGGATGGGTCATCTCAAATCTTAAGCCACTACACCCACGCTTTTAGAGATGGGTGAAACTGGATTTAGAGAACAGACTCCAGGCCATTAGTGTTAGCTGGCGAACTTCCCCTCACTTGTGGCTTTATAAACAGAAAAGTTGATTTACTGAAGGGTCAACTCTAGAGATAATGCCAGACAGCAGTTAAGAGTGTTGTCTCATTCACTGAATGATGTAAGTTCCTAAAAGCCTATAGTGAAACATATGGATTTGTCAGGAGTGTTTGGAAAGAGAATGGCATGTTCCAAGTAAGTGGCAGCAGAAGAAAAACCAGTATAAAATGTTGTTACACCCCCTGTCATACCTCTCCTCACAAAAAGCTACTCTGCATCTTTCATAGCTTTTCAGGCCATTGCTAATTATAATGTAGAAATATCTAATTGCTCTTCATAGCTAAAGTGTGGGGTTTGAATCAATTTAGCCATTGCAGAGAAGGAAATTTGTAACTTTTCGGTCCAGTCCTTAAATATTATTTGGCCCTGATTTCTAGTATGAGTTACAAATACATAATCAGGGTAGGGATTTGAGACTCATGACTTCATAATTTTCACACTGTCTGCTCAGCTGTATTACTTCTCTCTGCTTTAAATGTGACCCAAAGCAGAGCAGGAAGGCTGAGACAAGGGAGAAGGTTGGCCGACCTGTAGAGTATACCAACAGTATGCCCTGTGGGGATCTGAGGAAAACACCACAACCACCCTGGCCTCCTGAAAAGGCATTTATTCTAATTCTAAATCCAGATTAAAGATACCAAACAATATTGGAAAAATGACATATCTTTAAATGCCATAGCAACTGTTTTACTGCTTAAAGCCACTTTACTGGAAACAAAGGACTTTACTAGCATTCTGCTAATGCACTGTGAGTGTACAGAACTTGCTCCACTTGGGAGGGAAGGCAACTCTTTTCCAAGTAGTGATAAAGTTTCCAATTTTCCTAATAGTAACACTTGGGCTTTTCAAGGAAATTTTATTCCAAACACATTTTGTATTTTATATTATGATCAGTTATACTTTTTATTGCAAAGGGATTTACTTACGTTACAGTTAGATCCAGGATGCAACAAAAGGAGCAATACAAATTGCCTGAAGTATTTGGATACTTAAATTGTACTGCTTGTGCTTTATCAAATAAGGTAACAGTGTTCCAACATATCACAGTTGCTGTTGCCTAACATTTTGTTCCAGTTAATGTGTCTGGAGTTAACCCGAAATTCAAAATAGTATCTTTCTGCTAAAGCACCAGGCAAATTTCTCGAAACTTTACACATCAAGTGGGTGTAGAAATAGCGTAGTCCCTTTTTTTTCTTTAGTTCACACAAGATGAAGAGGTCACTGTGCAAGACAGAAGTTTCCAGACAGAAAAGAAAAGGGTCTTTCTGCTTCTTCAGGATGTAACTTGCTCTGGAAGCAAGCTGATGGCTGGATCTGTTGTATCTACTGCTATTAATTTATATTGAGATTTTGTTATTTGCTAGCAAGTTTGCAGGCATAAATTTGTGTAGGCAAAACAAGAAGTTGCAAGTCTATTTTGTTGAAACACATAAATTTATACAAATACACATACTGGAGTTGTGGAAAAATAATTGAGTTACAGGCTACAGTTCCTTAATGTCTAGTGATGGCAGTTAAAAGTTTAGCTACATATCTGGCTTTTACTTTAGGGACAGAATACATTTCTTCAGAAAAGAAGCCTCATTGATGGAGATGGAGTCAACCACAGTACTTTGCAGTGCTTTCAGTAGGTCCAGCTGAAATTTGAACTGTTGCAGTTTGCCCCTTTAGATGTGGTGAATACAAGACATCAAATAGGATTTATAACAAGGCTATTGTTAAATCTTGTCAGTAAAGCCAGGAGAAATCCATGTGCTGATGTTGCCAAGAACCGTTTTCTACTTCAGCCCCCTCAGCCTCAGCAGCATCCCCTCTCAAAGCTAAGGCGAATGTTTCATCATTTTACCAAAGGCACTTTCTCCTTCCCTGGGCTTGTGTGGTCAATGTTAGCCTAAAACCAAATTAGTGGTCTTTCTTATAGTACAGAATACATCAGAAAACAATTTATTTGAGACAAAAAAAAAAAAAAAAAAAAAAAAAAAAAAAAAAAAAAAAAAAAAAAAAAAAAAAAAAAAAAAGAGACATCAGAAAAATGTTCTCCCACTCTCTTCCTATCAGAAAACTCAAAATAATGAGTAGTCTTCTCAGAACAATATGCAGCACCTCCAAACCATGATTTCCAGTCAGGTAATTCCTCAGGGTACTGCGCATCTCTTAGGAAGAGCAATACATATTCCAAATGGTTTACAATCCAAGAGAAGAGACTACCCCTGTTGGGGGGAAAACATGGAAAATTAGACAGTCCAACTATAATCTTATTAGCATGGACAACAAAATCAAGCAGATCACAACAACCTGTCTTGGGAAGCTTATGTGTCAGAATTTGCCACAGAAGAAAGTCTGAGTTCTGTTAAAAATTAGTTGCATGTGACATTTTATAGCAGTAAAAACATAGTAAAATACAGGAATGCAAGACTTTTTTTCCCTCAAAATGAACAACCCCCTCTTTTTTTTTCCTGGGAATTTATTCTGAAATGCTTGCCAAAAATCTACACAGGTGATGCTTTCATGAAACAAATTAATAGATTTGTTAAAGTATTCAGGATGAGCTTCCCATCACAACTGAACAATTTCATAAATCCTAAAAGTTCTGTATCCACTGACTTAGCCCTAGACCTCACATCCCTTCCTGTGCATCGGTTTCTGCCTGTTGCCTCTTGTCCTATTGCTTGGCACAACTGATTAGAGCCTTGCTCTATCCTTTTGACACTCTCCCTTCAGAGACTTACATTGATGAGGTTCTCTGTCAGTCATCTCTTCTTGAGGCTGAACAGGCCCAGCTCCCTCAGCCTTTCTTTGTGAGAGAGATGCTCCTGTCCTTCAGCCATCTTTGTTGCCCTCTGCTGAGGCAACCAACCTGATCCATGAGCTCCATGTCTCTCATGTACTGAGGAGCCCAGAACTGGACACAGCACTGCACTGATGCACAGGGTTATTCTTCCCCAGGTGCAGGACCCTGGATTTGCCTTTGTTGAATTTAAGATGGTTAAGGACCTGTCAGGGTCCTTCTGAAGGGCTGTGCAACACTCTGGGGTGGCAGCCACTCCTCTCAGCTTTGTGTCGTCAGTGTGTTGGCAGAGTTTACTTTGGTGCCAAACATTGCTAGAACGACTTCCCTGTTTTTCTAGAAGAGCTGTGCCTGATGTGGCTGGCTCCCAGTCAGTTCTCAGGAAGTCTTCACATCTGTGTCCTTGCTGTTTTTCCCATTATTTTTTTAACTTAACTTCTAAGACATAGAAGTACACTATAGTGTTAAAACTTCTTACTTGTAACTGTAAGGGAAAATACATTCTCATTCTCTTGAGCATAAGTTGTTCATCCCCTTTCTCAGAAGTAGTACAGTTTGGTCCAGAAACACAAACTGCAACTCTAGAGGTACAAGTTCTGAGTAGCAGAAACATAGAGTCAGAATAAAATCAGCTACATACAACATTAATGGCAGCTTTTCCCCTGCTGTACTCAGACCATCTCCACAAAGCCATTACAGGCCTTACAAGCACATCACCATGCTATTTCAAGGCCTAGGCTCTTCTAATGCATTGTTTCAATTATCTTTCTATTCTTCACTGCATTTAATTTTTGACTGAAGAGCCACACATTGCATCTTGCCCAGGATAAGAGGACAACAGGGAGGCAGTCTCAAGCCACGTGGCTCTTGTGGAGTGTGTCAAGCCATACAAGATTTGCTGGAAGACATGTCTACAATGCTGTTGTGTAAATTGTTTCATTGAAAGGTAATTATTCTGTGACATAAAGCAAGATCTTGGTGCACTGAAGTCTAAAGCAGAATACATTTACTTCAAGAAGTCCAAACTTTTTATGCCACACAATTTTTCAATTCTTGTAATTTTTTTTTTTTTTTGCAGTGATTTCGTCAAAATCTTCTGATCATCCGGCTTTCAAGAAAAATCATGAAGCTTGGAAATTTTTTGAAGGTAAAGATGCATCTAACTGCTACTGCTTCTATACACATTGTTAGTTTTTTGAAACAGTACAGGACAACTAAAGTGCCCCAAATCAGGACCAATTTTGCTAGTTCCTGTGCAAACCTAGGCCTTGCCTGAGAATCCATCCCCCAAAGTACAAGGTGTGCTGGACAAAAGAGAATGGAAGAGTCCAGCTCCAGTTTCTCATGTATCTGTTATGGTCAGTGGGAATTTCACAGAATATTCCAAGCTGTCAGGAACCCACAAGGATCATCAAGTCCAACTCAAATGAATGGCCTATATAGGGATCAAACCTACAACCTAACCTCGGTGTTATTAGCACCATGCTCTAACCAGCTTAGCTCATCTTGAGGTAAACAGCCTACGCCTGTCTAATCACACAATTCAGTGTAGGCCCTTGTTCAGGAGGGTGTTCAGCATGTCTGCAGAGGTACCAAGTACTCTACACTTCTACTGGCCTTAGAAAGTGCTCAGTAAACATACATTGCACTGCAAGAGCAGCTTGAAGTTTCCTTGAGTTTCAAGGCAAGCAGCATTTTATGTTTAGATTAGTGGACAACTGTTCCGAGAGTCTGTAATCCAGAATCTGCATGCAGTTAGGACTCCCTCCTCCTCCTCCCCCTCCCCAGTCTAGAGTACTAGTGAAGTGCCAGCACACCACTTACAACTGCTGTGCTTCCTGCCAGGCAGGAATGCTGGCGTACAGGATGACCCTGATACTGTGGAGAGCCTTGCTTTTTAAACCATAATTTATAAACTATATTGTTGCACTGCATAAGGGGAACGAAACACTGAACTGCAGGTTAGGGGTCCAGTTCCAGCAATGCTATTTTCTGCAAGAACACTTGACCTCTGAGGCTTAGTTTCCTCTCTGTGAAGCAGGAAAGAAGCCAATATTCCCCCCTAAGGACGTTTCAAGACATTAATAGGTAGAGCATCCTTGAAGTACTCTAAAAAGAGTTATAGTAAAGGCAGAAATGAGTAATTAAAGATTTCTTTTCCTTCTGAACAAAATACTTCAACTTGATCTGCCATAGAACAACTCCTGTCAGCTCCACTGGGAATGTGATACAGCACCTGAATGAAAGCCATAAAGGGAGACTGAGTCTGCAGTTTTTAAAAGAAAAAAAAATCATACTAAAGTTTCAAGCCAGTGCTGCCAGCGGAAAAAACAATTGCAGATTTTCTTGCCTCTTCCCCAGCCACTCAGCACTCCCTCCACTTCCACTTTTCTCGTTGTATTGTTTGGGCGTTTCTTTTTTTCTCTTTTGTTTAAGAAAAAAAAAAAAAAGAAAAAAGTACAGCTGTTTGAACTGGGAAATAATCCAACTGAAGTCCTTTTGGTTTTTGGGTCGCCACTCAAAGAAAGAAAAGGAACTACCCAAACCGGTCCTTTTCTCTCTCCAGAAAGTCAGATCTCATGGGTGTAGTTACACCTATTTGCATTTATGGAGATTTCAACCAAATTTTAAACTAAGCAGGATACTATAGGAAAGTTTCAAGAGTGTTAAACTATTTCTGAACTCTAATCCTACATCTTTAGGGCCAGAGTCTATTTAGATCTCGTAGATTTAAATTTTTTCTATCCTGTCATCATGAAGAACACAGCTTTAACACTGATTGTTATCTGTGCTTTGTTTTCAGACCTATATGTGTATGCAGTGTTTGTGTGTTCCATAGGAATCATCAGCGTCCTCCTTTTTACACTTGTCATTCTCTGTCAGTCACTCCTGAACAAGAGGAGATCCACAGGTGAGTGAGATGCCATTCTTGATGACTGCAAAGCCCTTATCAAAAAGGGGGGCAGGGGGTGGGGGAGAAGAGAATGCAGAAGAAGCAGGAAAAATAAATATTTACTTGCCTTGATTGTAATTTAAAAAAAAAAATTGCTAGGGAAAAAAATTCTTCCAACCAAACTAGAACAAAGTAATTTCCCTCCCTTTGAATAGCTATTTCACTTTACATTTTTTCAAAAATCTTTCACCTTTGCACAAACATAAGTTGAAGGCTGTTGGAACTTCTTTCAAAGGAGACCACGTGCTGTATCATTAAGTTGCATTCTGACCAGAATCTAACATTTTGCATGAGTCATGTTTCTGCACATGTGTAGAAGGGTTTCAAAACAGCCTTACACTGTTCTTTTTTAATCTCTCTTCCTGAATAGATGTCAATATTCTTGGGTATATGAGGGTTTTTATTAGTACTCCCTCATTTCTATCTTTTTTTGAAACTAAAGCATCATTTCAACATTCAAATCTGTCTTTTCATAATAATCTTTCAAGATCAAGGATTATTGTTTCATTCTTCTCTTCCTCAAAGAAGAGCTTCTCAAAGAGACTGCACCTACATCCAAGCAGTCCTGTTGTAAACAAAAGTGCTGTTTCAGATCTGTGGAGTAATCAGTGCAAGCTCTACTTTCATTTGGGTTTAAAAGTGGTTTATTTGGAGATCTCACACAAGCTTCAAGGATGAGATACCAGCATGCTTAGCAGCCACCATGTTAGAGGAGACCATAAGGACCACCTCTGAACAGGTTTCAGAAGGAGCTTAGTTAGTGATTTGTCTTGCTAATCACAGGAGAGAATCATGACTTTGGTGCCTCTGCAGTACTGCACACATACCACAGAGGAATGAGTGACTCAGATATACAACTGAGAAGACATGTAAACCAAAAATAGATGTATAGAGAAGCCTTTGCCTGACCACAAACACTTTTCAGCCTGTGGTTCCATCTTCCTGGTAATGCGCTTAGTAGAGTAACTCTGATTCTAACAGACCCCAACAACTCTGCTTGCCAAGAGGAAGGAGCAAGATCGATGTTATTCTTCCTACCCTGCTAAGTGATGACAAAGGTTTTGTGCCAAGGGAGTACCCACACTTAAGTATGTTGGTCATGGTGAGTCACTTTGAAGCCACAAGCAATAGACTGATGCATCACAGTTTTTCTTTAGCAGACACAATTCTTGGGTTAGAATTCTTGCTTCTGTTTTTGTCAGTTTACACTGGTGTAAGCATACAAGCAGCTTAGAGGAAATGCCTCTTTACCTTGAACCAATACCAGTTAAATATAGAAATAATACACAACATAGAATAACCTCTATAGTTCCCCCACTCCTGCCACAGAGACACCAACAGCTTCCCTTTGTTCTCCCACCACTCCAGCTTCCCCTCCCCAGTTCCTCAGCCCAAACAGCACAAGGAGGATGATGTGCTCTGCCCCACCCCAGCCCCTCACAGATGGAGTGGAGGCAGATACCTAAGCACAGGGAGAAGAGGGAAAGCTGCCCAACCCTCTACAAGAACAACCTGGCCTGATCTGGAACATAGTGGAACTCATACCTGAACTAACAGCTGGAATTTGCTGTAGATGAAGCTGGAGAGTAGTTGAGTCACCATCTCTGGAGGCACTGAAAAGACGTAGATGTAGCTCTTAGGGACATGGTTTAGTGATGGACTTGGCATCGTCAGGGTTAATGGCTGAATGATCTTAGAGATCTTTTACCTCTAACATCATATAATTTAAACCTAAATGATTCTGTGATCCCTTTGGAATCTCTCTCTGTGAAACCTGAGAAGATCCTGGCTCACCTCACGGTTCTGGTGTGCGAAAGGGGACACTGAACCCAGTTCCTCATCGAGGGAGCTTTTTCAGTTTAACTAGGTTGGCACTGCATCTGGGACTGGTCGGTAGACCAAGGAGCTGTGGGAAGCTGTGGGAAGCAGCAATGGTTGCAGCTGGCAGTCCCTCTGTGGCTCTGGTAGAAGCTTTCACCCATTTGTTACAGAAGTGATTGCTCTTCCTAATTCCTGGTTCAGAGGACTGGAGGATTTACTGCAGGGCAAAAAAACCCCAAACAAACATATACCTAGAGATGCTCAAAAGTGTGTCAACACTGTACATGTGCTTTCCCTTTCTCCCAAAGAATCAGGACTATTGTTCTCCTGTACATTTAATAAAGGCCTGACAAGTAGATGGAAGCATTGCCTTGCCTGGCTTAGGCATGGCTTCTGTGTTAGCCCCAGCTCCGAGTGTTCTCAGCCCCTCTTTCCTTAGGACCAAAATGCACCTCTTAGGAGCTGTGTAGCTCCTTCGGAATGGGACTATTTAGGTAAGACCAAATACGAAAACTTTCCCGTAGAGAGGGGGGTAGTCATGAGTGCACTATTGTCTGGTTTTCGTGGTCCTTTGAAGAACAGAGAATAATAAGGGAGGGGGCTGTCTATGTTATATTCAACTTCTCATCATGGCCTAGGGGTGCACCCTCTCATCCTTCTGAGAAATAAGTTGGCAGTAGGTCGAACAGAGGAGCCGGAGTCTGTCCTCTGAGAGCAGCATGGGAGCCACAAAGCCACAAAAGAGCATCTTAATAACCCTGGCTCCTAAAAGGCTGCAGTGGGGGCAGCTGCCCTTGCTCAGGACTACTGACTCAAAGGAATATGAAGTAGAAAGATTTGCACAGCTCACATACAGAGCTGTCAGAGACAGGATAGTGGCTGGACTGGACCTCTGATCCGATCCCAGGAGGCAATCCCTTTATGCCTGTGGCCACAATCTAACTTACATTAGGAACAGCAGTGGCTCCTGTGGGTGAATGGTTTATTTCAGGCTTCTGGAAATAAATACAGGCACCACAAGGGAAATAAAAGTCTTCAAAGTAAAATTACTGGCCTGCTGTGCTTTTCCTTAGCAAGCTGTCTTTTGGCTGGGCTGACCACTGGAATATGTGTTGCCCAGGACTTTCACAGCAGATTTTTGTTGTTGTTTGATGCATTCCCCTCTCCCAAGCCTAGCTATTGTGTTTGAGTCAGATTACAATTTAATGCCCAGTATAGTGTATGTAGACAATCAGAAGCTCTCCCAGTGTAACCATCTGGCATTCCAGAGTCTCAGCAACACAGGTCTATCTGCAGTGCCCATTTGTAACTCATAAACTGTGTTGATATGAAGCCACATCTTCTTTCTGTTTTTCTTTTCTTTAACAGTGAAGCATTACCTGGTGAAATGCCCCCAGAACAGGTAGGAGATTATACATCTCTTTGCTATAACCAAAGACACCGGTTCTGGTTTTGTTTTGCTAAGTATGCTGAAGTGTTTTCCAAAATGTTTACAGAAAGATAGAGTCCCAGGTCCTATGACTCATGAATATGCCTGCTGTGTATGAAAAGGGACATCTGCTGGGCTAGCTGTAGGTCCTGAAGGTGCTTCAGTGACAAGCCTCTCCTTGATGCTCTGCTTTGCTTATTGAATGAAGAAGCCAACTTTTATCTTGTGTGACTTTCCAGGGTTTCCCAACACCTCACTGGATGACTTACGCCATCCACATAAATAGAACAAATCTCAGTATCACGCAGTTATTCCCATACCCAGGAACAGGGAGTGGGGCTAAAGCTGATTTTCAAGGCCTACAGTTTATTCCCAGCTGAAGACTCCAAGCGATGGGAAAAATTCTACTTCTGCTGCAGTCATTAATCACTGTTCCTTTAAATACCACCAGCTGCCAAAAGTTTTTGATGGTGTGGTGCTATAAAACTGATTTCTATTGCATGATTTTCCTGAGATATGCATTGTGCTGGAACTGCAGTAAAAAAATATGACAAGTATTTTACAAACAAAAAAGATGAAAGAGGGGTGCCTCGCAACAACACAGAAGCACAGCTGTTTCCCAGTTTTCAGTGACATAAACCATGTGTTTCCAGCCTTGTAGTTTAAATCCAGTACATCTTTGTATCACATACTCTTTCTCATAGTATCTCTAGATACTACAGGATTTGATGCCAAGTATAGCACACAGTAGAATCTCCAAGAGTGTGATTTTTAGTGCATTCTCATGATGGTATCACTGAATTCAATCTAACCAACACTCAGATGGAAGTGAAGTCACAACAAAGCTGCACAGAGTTCAGAAGAGGCCAGTACAAACTGCAACTTTCATGTTATTCATGGAAAGATCTTTGTTCTGTGACCCTGACCAGCTATTGCACCACACCAAAAATTCACAGAGATAGCTCAGCAGTTTTCAGTTTTCCCTGGATGTTTTTTCTTTCCCCCTTCTTTATTAGCTGCTGGGACAAAGTTGGAGTTACAAAAGCAAGCAAAGAAAGAAAGAATGGCAAGGGGGAGGAAATCAAAGTAGATTGGTAGAGAACACAAAGAGAAGAAGAATAAGACCTGGTTGAAAAAAGGAGCATGGCAGTCAGATAAAAAGACTTGTACTACAAAATCTGCATCTCTGGGAATAGATAATGTAGCAGTGATACTACTGCAAACACTACAATTAGGAGGCTTAACAGCAGGGAGAAAAGAATCCAATGTGATTTCTTCATTGTAAAACAATCTCCAGGAGTAAAAGAAATGCATGACTTTATATGGATAAAAATACAGTTTTATCTATTTCAGTGTGACAAGATATGCTAATGAACTCCTTGATCACACAAATGCATGGATAAAATGCATTGACTTCAGGGCTTTAAAATTAAATAGCTATGAAAATTATACCAGTAACATAATTTTAATTATGTTTCACACATGGTAACATTTATTTTCCATTCTCTGCTCAAAACACAAACCATTAATTCCTTTGAACTCATTGCTCTTCACCCGCACATTCCTTATCTTGGAACTTATTCCAACACATTTAGACCCAAAACTCAGTGTCTAAATACCCATTAGGCCAAACTGATTAACTAATTTGCGTGAGATACTTGCAATTTAAAATTACTATGCTGTGCAAAATTCAACCTTGATTAGAGAGGCTCAGCTCAAACTCCCTTAGTGATATTTCAAACACAGAGCAGAATCTAGTTTCAAAATTACATTAATAGTCTGGTGTCTAAGAAATGTCTGTAATCCCACTGTAGTAATACCTAAGCATCTTAAAATATTTTATGTCTTGACATCAGAATGGTATTTTTACTTTTAATTGGAATCTGAAGCACAACAGGCTAAGTGATTTGTCCTAGGTCTCACAAAATGGCAGTGGCAGAAAAGAAAATTAAATCCAGATTTCCTGAGTAGAACAAAACAAATGTTAGGTTTCAGTTTGCTACTTGACCAATAACAAGTTAAGGGAAAAAAATTCGTTCACGAAAACCCATTTCTCTACCACATTTTAAAAATAACTATCTACATAAGAAAGTACTGTTATTTTTGGTTTTCCAAACCACCTAATTCCATTTTTTGATGTTTTCTTTTCTTTAAATATCCTCCTTATTATTATTTTTCTAGCTATTGGATCGTTTTGTCAGTTTTCAAATCCAGAAACCACCAGGAGGTGTAGTTTTGAGAGCAGGATTTTTTTTTTTCTTTCCTTTATATTTGTTTTGGCCTAAACTTTCTAGTCCTTCAGTGACTGCTCTTCTGGAGACAAATAATTTATAATTTGAGATGAATAAAATGCTTTCCTCAGAAAGCTGTCCACCTTGACACCTCGGTTCCACAGTGCCAGTCTGACTTCATGGGAACAAATTTGCCAGAACAAACCAGAACCAAGTACCCAATCCATCCCTGGCACCTTTCCACACAGCTCCCCTATCTGGAAAATATCTAAGCAGCTTCTAGTTCACTCAAGTGAGTTTTTTGTCATCCCCCTGCAGACCTTTGACACGGGAAAAGAGCTGATTTTGATGGCAATGGGAAAAGTTCCAAATCCTAGACTCTAATGAGGATAGTATAGCAAAAATTCTAGTAGTTTCCCAGCTCTTGGAACAGCCAAGACCTCCAGGGAAGCCGCTGTCCTGGTTCCATGATTATTAGATACCTTTCACAGGTTATTCCCACAAACTCTTATATGTTTCTTGCTCTCTAAATACTCATTAGATCCTTCAAGAAATGCACAACGTGACACTGTTGAAATAGAAACCAGGAGGCTGGAGGAGGAGCTGGAGATAAAAAACTTTCCTTTTAGACATAGAACAAGACAAGCTTACAAAGAGGCAGTGTTTCAGAGCCAAGGAGTCTTTTCTGAGCCTCCTTGTTTGGTTTGAGGAGCCCAGTTGTAAGATAGTTATTGCATCTCCCAGAATTAGTTAACCCTGTATGGCCTTGGCATTTAAAAGAAACACACAAGTCACAAATAAATTTCTCTGTAGCTTCACTTTTTCATTGGCAATGAAGGAATAATAACTAATGCAATGAACTGACACTATGCCTTTTCATCTATTGTACTTAAAGTAGCTGGATCAGAACAATAGTATCTTTAATCTATGCATCTGCCTTAATTACCTTGGATTATTAAACCCCAAAACATTTTAAAAAATCATTCTCACCCCTTTTTGGTATTCCTTCTTTGCAGTTTGCAGTTTGGGCAAGGGAGCCAGGCAGGACAGTTTCATTTCCTGCTGGTTTTAAAGCATTTTATGTCTTGATTTTAATATAAAAACAAATGGTTATTATGGGGTAAGTTCATAACAGTGGAAGCAGACTTTGAAATTGTTTCAATGCAGTCCTTAGTTTACATAACTGGTGTGTTTTATTTATAAATTGTAAATGTATTTTACTTTTTAAACCCTTTTTAGAAACTTTGGCAGCAAACCTATGTTTTTCACTGAGTACATGAAACAGAACTCAGGAAAATCAGCAAAACAGTCTTACTGTAATCTACACAAGTGTAAATCTAGAGTGATTTTACCAATGGAAGTGACATTCATTTGGATTTACAACTGTGTAAAATGGTAATATCTGTTATTTTGTTGTTCTTGTGTGGGCAGTAGCTAAAACATCTAAATTTTCATTAAGTCTTTGGCCCAATTCGAATATTTTATTCTATTAATATAAAGAGAATGTTTCATTATGCAAAGAGCCTGGAGAGGAACAGCAACTTGGGATGAATTATTTAAAATTCAGTGAAACCAGTGTTGTCAGTGTTATGACTATGGAGACTTTGGCTGGATCCCATTGTGTGGTAGAACTCACCAGCACAGAACAGAAAGGTCCCCACAACCCTACTGCATTAATCTTTGCCAGGGTGAGCCCCAGGTCAGACGCAACTGAGCAACAACTGCTTACCAAGTCACCTCCATCACTGTAGTCATCCTAACTAACTGGTTTACCTTCTCTTCCCACCCCAGCTGTAAGTTAGAATTTCTTTCATTACGAATTAAGCCAATACAGTTTTATCTCCCTTTAGCTGCAAGCTGGGAGCCCCTGCACAGTCAGTTACCACAGCTCAGCTGACACACGGTGATATAAGTGCTGCAACCTGACTGCATATCCAGGCCCTAAATATTCAAAGCAGGATTTATGACCTAAGGCTTTGGGAGATGCTAAGGGTAAAAAATCCAGACTTCGAGGGTGTTAGACTGTAATAGTCCAAACACAGAAGCTCTCTTGGATAGGAATCTGTTGAAATATAACTTTTACTCTTCCCTCATAGCAACCAGCACTTTTTCAGCATAGGTGTATTGGAGAATGCCCAAGTTAGAGATTGGGGCATAGTTTCTCCATTTTATATTCCCTGAGCATGCTGGCCCCCTTGAAGAAGCTAGGTTTTGCAAATGTGGGTTTGTGAGCTGCCTGAAGACATGCTGCATGCTCTCCTGGCCTGCTAGCCCATCAGCCAGTCTTAGCCCAGAATCTGCATTGAAGATTTTGCTTTGCTGAACACTCTCCATGAGAGCTTATGCAGGTCACCTAACCTGTCTGTGCCTCTGGCCCTCAGGGGCAGGCTGGTAAAAATTCATCCTGGGTGCAGCAGTGGGATCATACGTCTTTTTAAGGAATAGGTGCTATGAAATGAGTCTTGCTTAAACCTGACAGTTTGCATTTGCTGTGCCAGGATGAATCAAACTCTATGAGTTTCTCAGCCACACTGTATGGCTGAAAAAATGTCAGACCCAGGGCATTTCAAACCCCTATAAGAGGTTTTTCATTATATCCCCAGATCACAATCCAGATTATTGGGCAGGAATCCTCACAAGTGGAAGTTGGTGTGTTTGCTTGAACTCACTAGGACAAACTGTCTTTGCCTCCATTGCCTTCATTTTCCCCCCACCTGTGCTTTGCAGTTCCGGGGAAACAGTTACCAGTGTGACAAGCCTGTCTCCTCTACAGCCTAAGAAGGTAAAGAAAAAGAAAGAGAAACTGGAACAGCCACCAGCCATACCAGCAAAAGGTATGAAAACAGAGGTGCAGAGGTATTTCAAGTCCTGGTCACAACCACGGAGGAACAGGAGAGCATGGGATGTCAGGACTCCTGCACTCTGCCACTGACTTTGCCTGTGAGGTGACCTGTGCTTGCTCCCATTAGTGGGGAAAGAAATGGCCTGTGCCTGCTGCTGGAACCAGGCTCTCATCTCCCTGTAGCTTTAGCCGTTGTGAGAAGCTACTCACTCAGTCCAAGCAAGAGGTCTCAGCTCCCACTAAGCAGAGGGGAGAGAGAAGCCTCTGTAGCAATATTCACCCTGCTCAAAGAGAAGATTAAAGTTAGGCAAGTTGAAATTACATGTTGGGGGAAATTACATATTTTGAGGGAAGGCAGCACTCATAAAATTGCAGGTGCACTTGGGAAGTCAAGCAAGCTGAGCAGATAAAGACCAGCCCCTTGGGGACCTCACTTTCAAAGAGGATTTGTGACACTGGGCCTGGTCTCACAAACTCTTGGGTGTACTTTCAGAGCATCACTGCCAATGCTAAGCCAGTGGGAGACAGGAGGGAAAGGTTTACTGTGGGTTAGATCACTAGTGACCAGTTCTCAACAGGTATATTTGCTGTATCATTTGCATGCAAACAGCATGTCTTGCATATCAGATTCTTTAATCTTTTGAATTTTTTTAATACATGAGCATTCTGCTTCATTGTAAAATATGTTACCTGAAATACAGTTAATCTCTAGTATAAATATATGTATTTGTTCCTAATTTGCTATTAATCTCTAATTTATAGATTGCTAATACATATACTAAAAATTACAGGAAATGATAATAATATGAAATGATCCCTTAACATTTATTTTATAGCTCCAATTGCCAATAACTTCCCTAAGCCCAAGCTCTTGAAACCTCAAAGAAAATTGATCCTGGTAAGTACTTTTCTATGACATCATTTTCTGCATATTCTTCTTTCTCAACTCAAATGCTATAATGTTGCCAGAACTCTAGATGCATAAAATATAAATTGGCTTAAAAATCATCCTGGTCCTAATTTTTTTTAAGCAATATTTTTTCAAGTGAGGAATTATCTTGGCTCTCTTAATTTTGAGCATTACGTTACACTGGATTATGTTTTCCAGCTTTCTAACAGTTGTCGTGTCTACAAGTTTAGCCTGTTCTTAAATGAAACCTGCTATTGACTCTTACATGCTTCTGGTAGCTGGTGCTTTGTAAAAAGTACTAGTTACTGACAGAATCATAACTGTACTGGTTATGATTATACAAACTGCTTTTGAGACTTTTCAAGTCAGAAATGGTGAGCCTGATTCTGCACTACACTGGTGTAAGTCAGGAATAACTTGAATTGCAGGAATATTATGTATTTGTATAGTTCATACTAAGGAAAAAACCCCTCATGTGACAGTTTCTCTTGAATATGAGTTTCTGTTTGAAAAATACCCTTGCAGACACATGCCAGACAAACCAGACAGACGGCGAGATGTTTCTCTGCTTTTGTAACAAAGCAGTACCTGGACAAGACATGTAGCAGTAATAGAGACACAGTTTTACACCAGCTAATTTCAGCTCCCTATATAGTCAATAGTAAGAGAGATGAGTTAAAGTAGGAGCCTGATGCTCCCAGTAATTCAGACTACTGCTCTGAATTGCCTTTGGGGAATCCTTTCTCCCTTCTCTGGTAATAGAGAGAGAGCCCAGAAAAACTAACTCTCTAACTTAGGTGAAGGTGGGTGCCTAAAATTAGGCCACTGGAATAACCCAAATGCCATGTGATGATTTCATTTTCTGATGAGGGTTAGAATTGGGAACTTTCCCACCAATTAAATAACCTCTACCCTTTAAAGCATGGTCAGGGTACAACCCTGGGTTCCTGGCCGTAATGCCAGGTGACTTCAGAACAGCTCAGCTAATATCCTAAGCAGTTCTGGGTATGGAGCTCATCTCTCCTCTGCTGGTCCTGCAGGGACCCTTGGCCAGGCTCAGGTCAGGTTTCAGTAGAGGAAAAGACAGAGTTTTAAAAGTGCATGACAAAAGCCTTATGTCAAGGTAGGTAATAGTGGAAGGCCAAAACCATGCTAAGAGGACAAAGACACAGATGAGGGTGATTGGCACCAGGGGTGACAGCCATCCTTTGCTGTGCATGCTGCATTAATCTCTGTGCCCAAGCACATCAATTAGTGTTCAGCCCTCTTAGGAAAAAGCTCTCACCAGTTAAAGCACTCAGACCCTTTCTGCAGGTCAATAAAGCACATCAACACATGCTGAACTTTAAGTAAATCTGTTTCCAGATGCTTTTTCTTTCTGGAATAATTCCAAGGATAGGCCTGAAATAGCTGTTGGCTCTTCCCATCCTGCTATGCAACCCCAGTCAAGGATCAAACACTTTGAAGGTGAGCAGGAATAAGGCCTTTCCAAACAAAGAGATCAGCTTTGTCTTCCCTAGCATGACTGAGGATCCACACGCCTCATGCACAAAGCAGACTCTGTTGTAATGCCTTGCTTTTCGACTTGACTCTGGCAGTTGTTTCCAAATGTTGGTCTTTTCCCTTTCATATTTCACCTCAGAGTGCAGCTGGAGAGACACAGCAGCCCTCACGATCTTGGATATGAGTTAGTTTTAAGTCCTAGCAATAAAGTGCAATAAAGGACAAAGTAAACTAAACACAAGTCAGTCCATAAGGCACATTCAGAAGTTGAGCAGGACACTCCTCAGAGCAGTTTGCCATTTCTGTTCCTCTTGCCTCCCTTTACTACGCAGTTGTCTATTTTTTAGTATTCTCAGGAAAAAAAAAAAAGAAAAAAGAAAAAAATCAATTTTTTTCTGCTTTTAAAGTATTTTTTCAGTGAGAAAATTAAGCTAATTGAAGTAAAACAAGTTTTAAGAAAGATAAAGAATGTTATTAAATACAGAGAAAAAGACATATCAAACTTATCTAAATGAAAATTTTTATTTATTTTCAGCAAACTTGTCAGTCCATTTTTTGAATTTTCAAAAATCTCTCAGATTTTAAATTTACAGTTGCTTTGGGGCAAAAAATAGTATCATCATCCTGCCAAATCTCAGGGGGATAAAATAACTTTTTTCCCAACTGTAATTATTGTACAGCTGATGTCTAAACTACGTCTTTTTTCACTGATGGCACATAGTTACTAGGTAATCGTCACTGCAGAGACAGACACAAATTGCTGAGTTTCTGGGCTACCTCTGCAGCTTCCCTGTGCAACCCAAGGAAGGTATCATATTGGGGCAGCAGGAGAATATTCTAGAAAACCTAAGATAACAAGCTAGAGTATAAAGGAACATTACAAAATAATTCCAGTGTTTTGGGAAATTTTTTTGTAATAACCTAAATACCAGCAAAATTATTTCCAGAGGACATGTGCTTCTGGTTTCTTGAAAGATGTTTATAATAAGCTAGAAAATTTCTTTTGTTGTTAACGTGGTAGAGTGGGTTGCAGTACAATTTCACAAGAACACAATAATCTGGATAAAATATGGACATAATCTCAATGAAAATTAAAAAAAAAAAAGAGAGAGAGAGAAAGCCTAATATCATGTTCAATTGCACAGCCTTGAGTAAAGCCTTTTAAATACTCTGCTTAAGTCATATTGCTTTTGCTTTAGCCAGAATAACAATTCTATGCTCCCTCTGTTGCAAAAATATTCCCCATCAGTGTCATTGTCTATTAGCATCAATGAGAAATGTGTACAGATCAAAGGAAATAGAGATGCTGCAATGCAAAAAGGGATGTTTTTTATAGCGTGCAAGAAGCACAGAGAGTCATTAGGAAAAAGAAAATTCTAGGGGCCCACAAACTCCTCTCTAAGGGCTGTTCTGCTATAGCCTTAAGTACTTAGCCCTTTGAGTTGGTAGAGATAAATCTTATACTTCCTCAACCAAATTTTCTGGTAAGCCTTTATTGCATCCTAGAGATTAGCTGTCATAGCCCAAGAGTGTCACTTATAGAATATCATCTAAATGAAAAGGCTTTAGTAATTTTACATGAAGGTTTGAACCACCAAGCTGAGGAGCTCCTGTGCAGTTCTCTACAACCACTGGAAAGGATGTGACTTCAGGTTAGACCAAACTCTGAAATCTTTACTTATGCAAAATTACAGTCTGTAGGGAGCAATATGTTTGAAAGTCTGAAATTTATAAGTATTTGTTCAAAGGACATGCCATGACCTGCTCCTGCCATGTCCATAAAGCAGAAGGGTGTTGTTTTGAGCAGGAATTTGACACAAGTTTGATACCTGTGAAAACAAGTTTGATACCTGTGAAACTGAGAAGGCTGTGACTTGGTCTCATCTGTTTGTACTCAGCAAAATCAAGCTCTACATCAGTGTATACTCCTGGATCGAGCAATGAAGACAGGTGCCCCTAAAGCTGCCCAGAAGCTTAAGTTTCCTTCACCTGAAGAAAAACCTTTGAGTGTTACTTTTCAGGAGTGCACTCCCCATTGAACAATAAACCAAACAGATCCACTGTATATTAAAGTCAGTGAACCTGGAGTTCTTTTGCAAAAGGGGTTTAGATGTGCAAGTCTGATTACCACATCAGAGCTGTGAAATGTAAAGAACTGCTTTAGGTTTCTCATTGCTGGGAAATTTGTGCCTTCTAAGCAGTGCTCCAGCTTGCTGTCTTTCAGCTTCAACCTCACAGCAATCTGGGAGCAAATGTACACACTGCAAGATTGTACTTGATGAAGGAATTGATATATTCCCTGTCTTCTTGTTCTTTGCTTACATTTAAGCACTACATCATTCTAGCCAGTTATACTATATGCATCAAGCTAGCTAGGAAAGGGTATGTGTATATATATATATATATATATATATATATATATATATCTCACAACTAGTACAGTTCCTCAGTTGTCTTAACTTACCTGGCCCTTTCTTTGAGAAAGGAAGAGGAAGTGAAATACATCTGCTCAGTTATTTGTGATTCTGGATCTCGGATCAATCAGGTCCTCCTTTCTTCTGGATGATTTTAAATTAAAAGCTGCACCACCTTCTTTCCTCCACAGCATGTAACAATGGGTGGTGATTTAAGCTCCCAGTTTCCTAAGGCATTATTGATCTCCAAAGACACCATACATATGATATACAAAGGAGTGGTGAATAGTTTTTCCCTTGACTCTCTGTGATCCTTTAAAATTTCCATTCAGTCTTCATAATTACTCTCTCGGCAAGATGAATAATCCTTTTTTTTAATAGTTTCTCCTTAGGATGTGAGATGTCCAAAGGACATGAATATCATTTGCACATTCAGGTTGACACTCAGAACACCACATATTCAAAACAACTGAGTTATGCTTGCTTTCCCATTCTGATCAGAGGTTGCTATCTTTACACCCAAGCAGGAATAATTTGTATAAATACATAAAATTTCTTGTTGGCATTGGACAGAGAGACTTGTGTTTTTACAAAATCCCACTTCAGGTATTTTTTGTGTGATAAAAGTGTCACTAGTGAAGTGAAAACTTTTAATTACTTCCTTGGCTTTTTTTTTTTTTTTTTTTTTTTTTTTTTTTTTTTTTTTTTTTTTTTTTTTTTTTTTTTTTTTTTTTTTAAGGATAGAAAGAAATCAGCCTGATTTCCAGCAGTGTCAGCTTAGAATCTAGGAATAACTACAACTGTAAAAGGAATAGAGCTTTAGCAAAGGTGAGGATGCTCTTCCCCCAAAACTCATACAATAGGTCTTATTAAGTCCTCTTTGTCCCTGACTTTGTTATCATAACTTCTGCGGGATTCAATAGCAAAATTTAGATGCAGTGCTGAAAGAGGCTTCACAAACTGTTGTAGATATCATTCCCAGGGAGTATGGGAAGTATTTTATACTTTAGAGAGTAAAAAGTAGGCATCTCAATGGAAAAATCCTGTCCTTTTTAACTTGATAGTGCCACT